TTGACTTGTTTGATGAATCTTAAAAGTCAGATATAATACCATAACAAAATTACTTCCCCATTTGATTAAGGAGAATAACATCATTACAAGACTCTTGACTGTGATAATATCATCATCCAGTATCCATGCTAGTGTTTATAAATTGAATATTTACATACTATTTCTGTTATTTTTAGAGCTGGTCTTTAATAATAAAACTATATAACTTTTAAAGATTATTTAAATCATAATAAATGTTTTCATTTGCAAAAGTAATTAGATCACTTTTGTCAAAGTGAATAGAAAAATGAGATTAAGCTATAATTTAATTAATATTAATAATGCTCCCCAATATTTCCACCTTAAGGTGATTTCAGAGGGGAAGCGAACTAGACTCATATATCTGACATCATTTGGATGCATTTTACTTTCGCGCTTTCAACTTATACTTTCAATCAAATAATCAGAAAACTAATTGAATGTGATTTACTTTCCAAAAGAATATTTTCATTTCAACTTACGAACACTCCCAAAAGGTTTTAAACAATAGAAAGTGCATTGAAGATGATTCAAATATATCAGTAGCTGGAAGTTAACTGCAAGTTCATAAATCACTAGGAAAAGTCATTGCAATAGTAAAAGCAGATGGCATAATTGGAATTTGGAACTTTGAGCAAAACCCATGTTGAAGATCACAGGCAGCCAACACAGTTCATCAAGTGTTAGGAAGGCCAAAAAAAATTGAAAAAGACTAGGACTTCTTCCAGATAAGATGAACTGGCCACACATAACATACGGTTGTCCACGTACATTCTATTATTTACACAAGCTTAAAATTTTCCTCAATCTCTATTTATTTAGGTCGTCAAACTCAATGTTGAAAATAGCGATAACGTATAGCGTAACGTTTACCTCCGGTTAGGTTACAATAGCGATAACGCATAGCGTAACGTAGGTTAAATAATTTATTATTATTTAAATAATTTATAGATATATAACATTCAAAATAAAAAATATGAATAATCATCGTAATTTTCAATTTCACAAATCAATATATCATCACAATTTCACACCAAATCAACCATGTTTGCCTTAACAATCAATCCAAAAGCATAAAATACTTCAAGTTCGAAACCAAAAAGGATCCAATGATCCATAAACTATGAAGTATGAAATTATTAGGTTGGGTTGGAATCCATGAAAAAGGAGTGAAAATGGGAAGGGGAGGCGGAACTGCGGGCGGCGTGAAAAAGGCGGCGTGAAAAGGGCGTGAAAAGGGGAAGGGGAGGCGGAGCTGCGGGCGGCATGAAAAAGGCGTGAAAAGGGGAAGGGGAGGTGGAAAATAACCTAAGTTATAACTCAATCACAGCCGTTCATTTCTTTTAAAAGCAATCTAAGCCATTGACAAAATAACCTAAGTTATAAAACGTTACGCCGTTACGTTACGTAACTTACGTTATAGCTAAAATAACCTACGTTATTTTGTCTTTGCGTTATTTTCAAACGTTACGTAACGTTAAGCTAACGTTACGTTACGTTAAGCGTTATTTTGCGTTACGAAACGCGTTATTTTCAACACTGGTCAAACTAAAACTAGACTGAGCAAGCGCAAACTAACCGAACTTAGCCTTAAGCTATACCATCTACTTATATTTCTGCACAATTTGCAAAAGATACACATGCAGAACAAATGTAGAAGTCACATAAACATAAAACCTAGAGAAGGGACCACTTCATACATTAATCTAAGGTCCTAAAAAGGCGTGATCACTCCAAACAACATCTAGCACTTAAACAACCTTGCACCAAATTTTAATGGTTTATATATCGACTACATAAAGGTCAAATATGCCTATATGAACTAAAGAAGCCAAGTATTCAAGCTAATGACATTGGCTTTTACAGAATTACTTCTGAAATCACAATTACCATCGCTCTAGTTCATACATAAAGCTTCTGATAATTCAAGCACAATGGTTGTCCCAGCAATGGCTTTATTCACACACTTGTCCTTTTTGTAATATTGTTGCTTAATAAATTATAGTACTTTTAAATTTTAAGTTCTTGATAATCACAACTCAAAGTTAGCACTCACCCTTACCTAAAAGCCGAACACGCGTCATCTCACCCAATTCGTAAATTCTTGTCATCTCCATATAATATATTGCTAGATACAATCCTCACTTTTTATTACCTAATTTGACCATAATAAGGGGTTTCCCATAGTAATTATCACAAAATCCAAAAAAAAAACTTTACATCCTTTTTCATATAGTGTATTTCATGATTATTCACTGTTTTGCTCATTTATCCTTCATCTCTTCAAACCCAGTACAGCAATCCTAGTTTGACTGGGGTTCCTCCTGTAAGTTTGGATCAATCGAAACAAGCACAGAGGTAAGCGCTACTCATTTAAATTTTCCGTCCTCCCAAAGAAGATTTCACTACTCGTTGGCATCCCTAGCCCCCACAAAGTGTTTGATGAAATAGGTACTTCGGCTCTCTTTATTTCAAAAGTAGATAAATTTATACATTAATATATTTTACAAATGGGTCTTGCTTGATTAGCTTCTGTAAATCATAAGATCTTTGAAAATCATGATTTGAGCTACAATTTGAATAACAAGGGCAGAGAATATGTTAACTGATTTTACTAAATTTGTAAATCTTTCTACATAATCATACGACCTATATTGGAAATAATTAACAAATTTTATCCAGTTTGACTGCAAGCAGGGGTCTTTCTACAGTGAGAAATCGGGAATCACAAAATCAAACTGAAAAAGAACGCAAACAGAAAATAAAAGAAAAGAAAAGACCTACCTCTTCCTCAAGCTCTTCAATCCTTGAAGCCAGCGCCTCCCTATCTTTCCTCTTCAGCGCCGACTCATCAAGCAAACCCTCGTCCCTAAACTTCCTCCAAACCTCCACGTCATCGCCACCTCCTCTTCCCCCTCCGTCCTCCCCCAAAAACGCCTTCGGAGGCGGCGTCGCCCCGCTTCTCCGGCGACCCCTTTCCCCTTGCCGTAAACCCTAGGGTTCGAGGCGTCGCCTGAAACCCTAGGAGAAAGAGCCCAGCTCTTCCTCTGCGGAGTGAACATGGACGAAAGTACGGATCAAGAACCCTAATTAGGGCGAATTAGGGATGCCTATACCCTAGATTCGAGAGGAATTGGGGGAAATTGCAAACCCTAGAGAGAGAAAAATAGAGAGAGGGAACGGATCGTTCTCTTTTTGGGACCGCAGCCTTTTCCCTTTTATTTTTATTTTTATTTAATACGAACTGGCAATATTGCCCTTGCCTTACCTTTCCGCGTTGTTTAATGGGGGGCGCACTCGTGGTTGTTTATGTGTGTGGACGGAATTGCCCCTGTGGTTTGAAATTTGAATTTAGGGGCTTAATTGCATAAAAATTTGCTAGTTTCTTTTTTAGTTACAAAACCCCTTTATGTTTGGCACTTCTCAGATAAATCCCTTAACCTTGAAAAGATCACAAAAGACCCAATAAGTTTTGGAGTTATCAGAAACTAACTTTCAACATTTCTCAATACCCCTCCTTAAATCATGAACTATAATATCTACTAGCAAAAATACCCAGATGCTAATTTTATCCATCATGTGATGAAAGTTTTAAGGGGGTTGTGTGAGAACCGCAAGATTTAATGGTATTTTCTGACATTTTAAAAATAATAGGGTCACCTGAGGACTTCCAAACCGAATGTGGTCTTGATGAAATTTTTGCTCTCTTTTTTTCCCCAGTTTGGGCCATTTGTGACATTGATTAACTTTCCATAGAATTTTTGCATTTAATTAGAATCAACCCCATCCACTTATGACTAGTGGTAGTCAATGAAAGGTGATGTCATGCGTCTTTTCCTGGTTAATTTAATTATTATTATTATATAACATATTAAAATTTATATGTTAGTTAACATATAACATCAAGTACATTTCATTTAATCTCCCTGACTTTTGAGGAATTTTGCTACGTACCCCCTCTGAAACTTTGTTTATTCTGCGTAATCCTCTTAAATTAAAAGATAACACCATGAACTTTGCGCGTGTATAAAGAAAAAAAGATTGGTCATGACAGATAATATTGATTAGTTATTTACTAATTGATTTTTTCATAAAATCAACAACAATACTTTTTTCCACTTAATAAGAGAGTTAATCAGCAGAGTACTCCAAGAAGTATAAATAAATTCATTTATGTCGGCAAATGAATGCGCGGTGATGAAATGTCATAAGAATCATTTAACTACTGAACATCCTCGGATACAAATAAATCCTACTTAATGACAAAGGGAGTAGTAAGTAGGCTACTAATCTTGAAGTGAGCATGATGAAACCATGATGCCAAATTATTCTAAATCTCGTGAAAGGGTGTTCTCGTCATTTACCAACCCTTTTGGATATGGTTCGCCATCTCGCAAAACATGCGCTGTACATGTCCCCTACGCAATTGACCAAAACAACCCCTGTTTGGATCGTAGGCAGTTGTGAAATAGGAAAGGGTGTTTTCGTAAAAGGAAGAAGTGGGGGAATGTTAGTGGAGCGTGATGGATGCAAGCTTGGAATATGCTGGAATAATTAAAACATGTGATGCTAAACTTTAAAAGGCTAGGGTTTGGAGACGAGCATCTGAATCTGGTCATGCGTTTGTGTGTTTCTCACTTCCTTGTTTTAAATCTAAAATAAAGTATATAGCTCGAGAAATTTATGAGTTGGATATAAGTTTTATTAAAGATTAATTAAGGTTTAGCTTTTGGTATTTGGGCTTGTTGTAGGACTACTTTCTAGGCCCACATAACATTTCAAACAAATTAGGGGCGGTGCATCTGAGCCCAGTTGGTGCAAACCGATGCATCGAGAAATTTAAAGCATTCCTATAGATTTTTTTAATGAAGTAATCGAAACCTATTAAGGTCATCTATAACAGAGCTGGCAATTAAGCGCTAAAATAGGGATTGCTAAATCCCGCGTTAAATTGATGAGGTGCTACAGTGCCACGTCCGAAATGGAGTAACACTGTAGCTTTTGAGTTTTTTTGTTTTTTCCAATTTTACTCTTAAACTATGTGATAACAAATTAAAAATACCTATTGTATCATATTATATCATTCATTAACCTCAGTTTATTTCATTTAATTTTTTTTATTTTTAACTTTTATAATGAAATTATAGTATAAAATCATTATTAAAATAAAAAAAATTGGTGTGAATTATTAAAATAAAACAATTTGTTAAATATTTAAATTGATAAAAATGTTAAAAGATAAGAATAATAAAAGGAATATTCTTTTTTGTGTAATGAGTTGGAGATGAAATAGTGATTTGATATAAAAACTACACCAACTTAATGTAAAAACTATACCATTTTAGATTTTTGGGCTGGAAATGCTCTTCAACACTTACATTTTCACGCTACGATAAAGAAGGAATTGAGTTTTTGGATCCATCTGAGCCGTTGATCTGTGAAACGTGGAGGCATCTTCGGCACTCCATAATTTTCATTACCCATGTACGGCACAGAACCCAGGACTCCGCATAATTCGAGGGTTATGATAGGATCTGAACCCCGAATATATTCTCTCTATTTTTCTATTTTTTTTAAGCTGATGACACCCGTACGAAATGAGGTCATTTTCCCACCGTGAATTAGATCTTTGATATTAGGGCCTGTTCGTTTGTTTTCAAAAAAGCAAGAAATGGAAATGGAAATAGTGGAAATCTCAAAATAACCCATTTCTTCCATTTCCATCCCTAAAACTCACCCACAACATCCAATAAAATATTATTTTCATCCAACAACTTATCCACATCATCTAATAAAATATTATTTTCATCTAACCACTCATCCACCACATCTAATAAAATATTATTTTCATCTAACAACTCATCCATCACATCTAATAAAATATTATTTTCATCCAAACATCACTCAACTCATCTCTTTTTATTATTTCAAATCACTCACATCATCGAATAAAAAATTATAACAATTCACATCATCTCATTAACATTTTATTTCTTCCATTTCATCCCAAAAAGTTGTGAAAACACATTTCTTAATCTTTCTTCACATCAACCAATAATACAATGACAACTCATCTCATCTCATTTCATTTCTTATTTTTAAGAATGAACCGAACAAAAGAAAACAAGAAAACTACAGGAAATAGGTTTCTTATAATTCATTTCCTTATTTTTTTTCGCCAACCGAACAACATCAAAACTAGTTTTCTTAAAAAATCACTCACATCATCCAATAATAATGTGACAACTCATCTCATCTCATCTCCATTTCTTTGATTTCTTTTTTTTTTAGCCAACCGAACACTCCAAAACAATTTTTCATTTTCCATTTCTTTGATTTCCCATTTTTTTTAAGGCAAACGAACAGGTCGAGATGTTAAAAATACAACGTATTCATCACATTGCGCTAATGTTATGGTTAACCTGGAAATATAGAACGCTAAATATAAGAAAAACCCTTTTAACTTTAGATGATTAGCAGAAAACCCCTCTTAACTTTTAAAATATCAGGAAGACCCTCCTTAAATATCGGGATTCCCTTTAACTTTCAGATTTTATGAGATACCCCCTTAGGGCCTGTTTGTTTGCACTGAAGTAACTGTGAAGTAGCAGAAGTAGAGGAAGTAGAGGCTATTTTTGCTACTTCCATATAAAAAATGTTGTTTGTTTCTCCGTAAAAGCTACTTCCGTTACTTCCTTAAAAGCTGACGTGTCATCTAGCTGTCATCTCTATTTCCTTAATATTTTTCCGGCTCCAATGCTGTGAAATACGGCGGAAGTGATTTTTAGGGTGGGGTCCACGGAAAAAAATGATCCCCAAAATATTTTTTCAACTACATATTCTTCTCCTATCCTCACACAGCTGATTCTCTCTCTCTCTCCTTAAAAAGTAAAGTTATGAAAGGGTTTCCTCAACCGATTCTTCCCGAAATTACTTATATCCTCACAACCGATTAGTTCCTGCGTGAAAGGGTTTCCTCAAGCTGGCGGTAATTCTAGTTCCCGCCGACTTCCCAGCAAAAAACGCCCTTCCTTCTTCATCTTCTTCCTCTTGGATTCACCAAAAAGGTATGTAAAGGTTAAATTTTGATCTTTTATTGTAATTAAATTACATCTTTTGCAAAAAAAGAAGAAATACTGGTGGTTGTATTTATTCGTTTGCTGTTTTTCTTTAGTTTCCACAAGCAATTTTATGTGATACTATTCTCCTTAATTTTTGCCCCTCATTTATTCCTCACAAAAACAAATTTTAGGTTTAATTTTACATAGTTTGTTGATTTCCATTTATTTTTTGTGGTGAAAGGACTAAATCTTGACTTGGGCTTGTAATTGGATTGATTCCGGTTCTTCAAAAAATGTATTATCAAGTGATTCAAAATTACAATGATTTCCAATGTAAATAGGACCAGTGTTCTCTCCTTGCATCATCCGAATAAGACCATCATCCGAATACTAGCTTGGTGTAATCAGCCATTTCGTGAACTCGAAGATTTTTTTTTGCAATGGCAATGTTGTCTGTTTTTTGTCGACTTACACAAATGAATTCAGTTCCGAGTGCCAGTAACTCATATTTCAGAACTTCATAGGATATATTAGCAGAGCAAATACATCTAGCTTTTGTTGTTCAGAAACTACATATAGTTGCCCGTACCCTTGAATGTCATCGAATAGGTTGCCATCGAATATTTCTTCTTCTGCTCAAATGGAAGTTCAAAAAATTTGGATACAACAATCTTCAGTTTTTGAAGCACCTCTGGTGATATTCCATGATTGATTAGCTACAATGTTGAATTGACATTATCAAGACTTATTGATAGCTTTTAGCAATGGGTTTTGTCTTGTGTAAATCTTCATGTTGTCAGCGTACTATTTGATTTATGGAAGAGCAAGGTCGAATTTGGAAGCATA